GTGTGTGTGTGTGTGTGTGTGTGTGTGTGTGTGTGTGTGTGTGTGTGTGTGTGTGTGTGTGTGTGTGTACGTAAAAATGAAAAGAAGAGTTACAACTTTCATTGGCCTCTTGATCTTGACAAATGTTATCAAAATCATGATCCTGAACAACATTCAAGAAGTTTATATATATATATGTATATGGGGCTTTCTTTATTAAATCAGCACCCCCTGACTATTTCAATTCTTAAAATAAAATTCTTTAAAATTTTCCTTGAATTGTCTATTTTTCGATGCCGTATGGCGTTTTTGAAGATTCAAAAAAGCTACTAGAATAAAACAAAATCATTGAAAAAATTAATAATATCGTAAATAAACATATACGATGTGATATAGAGATCTGATCCGTGTGCGTGCGTGTCAAAACGAATTACGTTGAAATCAATCATTCTTCAATACGATATCCACTGGTTATCAAGACATTTGTGTACAAAATTTCAAATTTTAATTCAATCATTCTCTTCCCGAGTAAGTACGTTGCGAAAAAATCTACAGTAAGAGTATTATCGTGCGTTAAAAACAATTTAGAATTTCTGCAGAATAATAATATGATAATTTAATAAGTTTTGAAGCTTTATATTACCCTATAAGAAGTGCTATTAAGAAAATAATTTTCGAGTTAAGGTAAAGACACAATAGACACGCTAAAGGCATAATAGCACTGACTAACAAAGAAAATAAAGTATTAATCAAAAGATATTCCAATAATATAAATAGAACACTATGGTCATTACGGGGAAGAAAGTAAAAGATACAAAAAATAAATTCTTTAAAAAATAAATTCTATGGTACATCCACAGAAACACACGTGTTCGCACTCGCGAACACTACATACATAAATGCACGCGCACACAGACGTAAGAGACATGGGGACTCACGTAAAGCAGCCCAAAGGGATGAAAGTTCTGTCACACACACGAATCAGGGCCTTTATTCTTGAAAAGAAACGTATATGTATCTATAATAAAACTAGGGAAATACAATAATATACGTTATCTATACTGTAGTAATTTCTTTTACGTTTATACCTTTCTTTTCAAGAATAGGAGCCCAGACTTCTTCATCACATCGTGCACATTTATTTACAATATCATTAATTTTTCCAATATTTCTAATTATCTTTTTTTATTCTAGGTTTTCATTTTGGGTCCGTCATTTTGAATTTTCAAAAACGCCATATGGCATCGAAAAATAGACATTTCAAGGAAAATTTTAAGCCCTTTTAAAGAATTTTATCTCAAGAATTGAAATGGCAGGGGAGTGGCCAATTTAACAGAGAACGCTCCATAAATATAGACTTCAATATGCAACCTATATCATTTTTATATTATAAAATTTCTCGGAAATCATGCGATATGTTTCCGATATTCAGCAAACGATCGACACGAAAAATTCTTTCAAGATACTTTCATATTTCCTATATTCCTATAATAAAAAAAATATATGTCTTAAACACACGGCCTTAATTCAAAAAGAAGTTGAATAACAGTTTCATCGGCCAATGTTGACGTATCTCCGATATTCTTATCGCCTGCTGCAATTTTTCTCAACATACGTCTCATAATCTTACCGGATCTTGTTTTCGGTAGAGCCGGAGCATGCTGGATAACGTCCGGTTGAGCAAATGGGCCAATCCTTTCGCGTACTATTCAAATTATATTAATTTATTTATAAATAGCGCATATTATATAATTACATGTTGAATAGAAAATAATACTAAATGCAATTAACTTAACAATTGGCTCATTACCTTTCTTTTTAAGCTCGATTTGTAACTTTTCATCGAATGTCGTCCCCGCGTTCGGAGTTATAAAACAATATAGACATTGACCTTTAACAGGATGTGATTTACTGACTACTGCAGCCTCGGCTACCGAAGAATGTTCCGCCAACACACTTTCCACTTCAGCCGTTGACATTAGATGACCGGAAACGTTCAACATATCGTCGATACGGCCGGTTACCCACAGATATCCATCTGCATCGCGTCTCGCTCCTAAAATCATAAATTTTTAAAATAAAAGTCAGATTTACATCATTTTCGTATTTCTCTACCACATTATTGCAATCAATCAAAATTAAATTAATCAAATTTACAAAAATTAAAGAGAGAGTTTCAATTTTAAAGAGGCGGAGAAAGAAAAAATTCCCCTATGTACCTTCACAGAAAGGATTTCTAATACTGAGGAAAAAAAAGTTCTTGACGTACTTCATCTTAGCTCAACATTATAAAATTAAGATTATTTTAAAATAAAATTGATAATTTGATTCTAACCATCAAATAAAATAAGATCGACATCTTATTTTGAAACAAGTATAACACGTATAAATTTAGAAATTTATATATTCTTACATTTAGAATAAATCTATTCAGTTATACATATACGCGATGCTATAACATTAAAGTAGCGAAGCTCTCGTGGCGTTAGGTAAGAGAGACACGCGGAACGAGAGATCCCTAGTTCGAATCCCGGCTAAATTCAGTTTTTTGTTGCCAAAAAATATAAATAAAATTCCTTCCGCAAGAATAGAATAAGAATGTTTAAATGAAAAATATTCTGTCAAACTCTTAAATTTTTCAAACTAGAATATTATTTAAGACCGATAATTGATAAACAATAATAAATTGGAAGAAGAAAGCCATTTTACGGTCAAAGCTGGATCACAGTGCTTGTTATATAATTGTGTGAATTTTATATACTGCGTATGTAGTCCCCCCATAAATCGCGATGCTGATAGTTTTTCACCATTGACGCATACATAATTACTACCGCAGTAATATCACTTAGTTAAATTGACGAGCAATCTAACAATTTTTGATGCTTATAGCATCTTATTGGATCTTAATAATATGTTGAAAGACATATATTAAATTCACACAATTATAACAAGCACTGTGATCCAGCTTTGACCGTAAAATGGCTTTCTTCTTCCAATTTATTATTGTTTATCAATTATCGGTCTTAAATAATATTCTAGTTTGTTAAATTACGTCAGCCTGAAAAAAGACGTTATTCTCCTACTTTAGATAAATATTGTGAAGAATATTACTACGTCGACTCGCCATCAGAGGTCTATAGATGTTCGCAACAATTCTCGCAAGTGCTGAGATACGCGTATCGTCATTAATTTAGCAACCAAAATCCTGCTTGACTGTCATTTGGCCGTTTCATATTTACTTGTCTTAAATTAATTTTATTTTACATTACAACTCCCACCACTCCCCTGGTTCATAATGACAATTGTATTATGCAATCTATTATAAGTGTAAAGTCAATTATTACAGTTATTAAAAATCGGTATATTATAGTAAAAGTATAACAGACAGACTGAAATATATGTTTTTAATCCTTGCATTTTCTTTTCAGTAAATATGAAGATAAATTACAGCACAAGAAATCAATTCTTCCATAATTATAAATAATAGAGGAAACAAATTATTAACAGAAATTGTAAAACTTATCTGATACGATTTCATAAGATAATCGGGACGAAACGCCAACTCGTGATATTCTTCGCAATTGTAATTTTCACAGATTTAGATTTAGACTTATCTTTACTTCAACGTTACATCGTTAAAATTTAATATATGTCTTTCAACATATTATTAAGATCCAATAAGATGCTATAAGCATCAAAAATTGTTAGATTGCTCGTCAATTTAACCAAGTGATATTACTGCGGTAGTAATTATGTACCTATACGTCAATGCTGAAAAACTATCAGCGTCGCGATTTATGGGGGGACTACATATACGCAGTATATAAAATTCACACAATTATAACAAGCACTGTGATCCAGCTTTGACCGTAAAATGGCTTTTTTCTTTTTAAATTTTTCTATTAAGAAAATTACATATAATTAAGAGCTAACATCAAGAATACTTAATTCTAAATTTTAGAATTTTTTATTTAAGATTAAAATATTCTAATTTGAAAAATAATTAAATATGATTAGTTCTATGTCGATCTTATTTTATTCTAGATCTTGGAGTAATAGCATTGAATATAGAAATCTTTTCTATATATACAAAGGAATTATCTTTACATATAGTATATGCATAGTGATCGTAAAGTCTGAAGGCGTTAGGAATTGATCAATCACATTCGTCTGATGTTCAATTCTTTACATCTTCAGACTTTACGATTACTACACTCACGGTAATTAATTCTGTCCCTCGGAAATTTTCACAAAATGAAAAGTGACCACCTTTCTATATTAATTGTCACAATCTATGCACGATTAAGAGGACGTAAGGTTCAATTGTAACGTTAATCGTGCATGGATTGTACGTCTCCAGCTATTGTAGACTTCGCATTACAGCTTGAACCTTGAACTCTCATCTGAATTGACGACAATGGAGCTTTTGCTCCTGATTTGGAAAATGATGAAGCCGCTTTGACCTTTCTAGACGCGTCCATCAGAGCGGGTTACGAAGGAAAAATTAAAATAGCGCTAGACGTCGCGGCGAGCGCTTTTTATAAAGAAGGTTTCTCTATATTCAAAAGATATATATATTCTCTTTTTAAACACAAAAATTATCTTACGTTTACCATTATTCTAAAGAAAATTCATGTTTACATTCACATAGGAAAATACGACTTAAAGTTCAAAACGAAGGATTCCGATCCCATTAATTATTTGAAAGCAGAGGCTTTAAAGGACTACTATCTAAGGTATCTCTCGAAATTCCCAGCGATACTCTCAATCAAAGATCTTTTCGATAGAGAAGACTGGAACAGTTGGTTAATGATTGCTCGTCAAGGAATTCAAGTAGTGAGCGATGATCTTACCGCAATGAATATCGAGAGAATTGAAGAAGCAATGAATAGGAATGTAGCAAATTGCCTCGTCCTGAGAATATCACAGATCGGCACTGTGACAGAGGTCATTAATTGCGCAAAAATGGCGATAATCAACAATTGGAGTTATATCGTGAGCGCGAACCACGGTGAGACAGAAGACAATTTCATCGCAGATTTAGCAGTTGGACTTTCCGCTGGTCAATTCAAAGCAGGAGCACCTTGCAGGTATTAGGACGACAGCAATTATAATATTGAAAGTAAAAGAGTGAGTGAAAGAGTGAGAGAAAGAAAGGGAAGGGAGAGGAAAGAGAGAAAGAAAGAGACATGCTCCAAGTTTTTAATCAATTTCAAATCGAATGCTAAAACATTCCTTTACACTGAGAAAAAAAGCTGCTTGACTAAATGCGTTTAGTTGGTAGTGATTTATTTAGTTCAAATATATATATATTTAGATCAACAAATCTTGTAATTTAAACAACAAAATGATTTTGTTGACTTGTTTAATTTAGTGAATCATCATTCTTGTCATACTAATAAAATTGTAGTCAAATAAAAAAAGTAGTAAAGTTGAAATAACAAAATTATTTATCAACTGATTAAATTTGATTATTTGGATTTTGCAAAATTATTTGGATTTAGGTAAAATAAATATGTAATAAAATAAACTATTCCTGTTTTGTTAGATTTAACAAATGTTTAATTACTTTTAAAGGAATATCAGTTTTATTGAAATATATATTTTATTGTAGAAGAAATTATTTCGTTCATCATAATTAAAATTCCGTTGAATTAACAAAATATTTTGTTAATAGTTTTGATAAACTAAATTAGATTAATTGTTCATTTGTTTATTCCATGTTCTTCACTGAAAACTATATTCTTCATCTAGAATTTTTACATTTTTCCATTGAAAATCATGATCGAATTTTAATCTATGGTCCGTTATTACAGAACGAGTAGACATGTTCCATTTTATGTGATTTCGATGTTCTGAAATTCTAGTTTTCCGAACCAAACAATGTCATATAAAAAATAGGTACAATAATGTCACTAGTAGATAGAGCTATTTTATTATCTGACCATGATGTAATAAACAATAAGCGTTCAATAATTTAAAGTGTCGTATCTCTGAACTAAATGAGTCTGCCATGTGATTCAAGGTGTGCGTGACTCAACATTATATATCGACTATAATTACACATAAAAATCAAAGTACAGATGTATCCCTGTGCAAAAGGAGAAGTGGGGGAATCGTTTTAAGATTTTTTAGAAATTTTTTAGTTGTCCCGAGGGTGGTTTTTTATTCATAAGGATGCTTTCTGACGCGTGTATTCGATCGGGGTATTTTTTGTTTGTTATCCGACATACAGATGTACGTCTGTGCAAAAGGAAAAGTACGGGAATCATTTTAGGATTTTTTAAAAATTTTTATGTTGCCCCGAGTGGTTTTTCGCCCATAAGAGTGCTTTCCGACGCGTGTATTTGATCGGAGTATTTTTTGTTTGTTGTCTAGCATCCAGATGTACCTCTATGCAAAAGGAGAAATGGAGGAAATCGTTTTGAAAAATTCGTTCCCAGAACGTTCCAAACTTCAATCAGCTGAATAAGTAGGATTGACAATGCGATTGCTTGAATCAATGATATAAAATTATAAATGCTTCGGATGGAATGAATATAACAACAAGTTTTAAAACAATCCAAACAGCGTGCAATTATAGCGTTAGCGTGTTAGGTTACTATATACCTCATAAGTCTTAAGTTCGAATCCCATCGATACTGTATGCGTTTTCAAAAATTATTAAATATCCTATATATGCGTATATACTTGCAATTCCATAAATTGTATAGAAATAGAACTATATACAATACATTAATTGTCTATATAAAAATAATAAAAAAACTTTTTTTCGTTGCAACTGCAGAGTTGTTATTATCAACAAATTATTTAGTTACCGTCTTTGTAGAATAGTTCAGTCAAATATAAAATTATATTATACTGCAGATTTAGTTCATCTTGTACTTAATTATCCTATCAGATTAACATAATATTTAGTGCCTGAAGCAAAAATTACATTGTTCAATCTAAATATTGTGTTCTTTTCACAAATTCTCATTTCATTTAACTAAACCTCTGTTAATATAATATAGAACAGTAGCCTTATTTTTGAATCATTATACGTATATTAACTAAATATTACTTATCATTTGCTTGCTCTTAAAATATATTTGGTTAATTTAACGAAAAACAGTGTTCTCTAAATTGCAAAAATAGGCACAATAACAATTTTATCGTACAATTAGAGTATATATTTGATCTCTTTAATTGGATATTCATTATAATCAATAAAATGTTTTATTCCGTAAATTTGATCCAAATAAATCATTATACGTATGAGTTAACTAAATATTACGTACATGAAATTAAATATGTATTCCGATTAATTAAATAATTTCTACATATAATGTTATACCATTTTACTGAAATGTGTTTTTCGTTAAATAAGTTCTATATCTTTTTAGTTTAACTATATATATTTAATTAATTGAACCGCGAAAATATAACATTAAATAAACTAACTTGTATGCTATTGTATTATATACTCATTTCAATGTAATATATTACAGTTATATCTACCAAATAGTTGTTTTCACACAATATTACTTTCGTGTCAGTACAATACGTTATTTATTTGAATTAACAAATATTTGCTTGTTACCGTGACCGTCGCATTTCGTTGAATCAACTAATATTTTTTTCGATCAACAACTTTTTTTTCTCAGTGTATCAAGAATTATGATAAGTAAAAGTCATATTTATTTAACACTACGATAATTGCAGGGGTGAAAGAATAAACAAATATAATCAAATTTTAAGAATCAAAGAAGAACTTAATAAAGATGCCAAATACATCGGAACGAAATATCAAAATCCTCTAATGAAATAATCTTGTGGATAATTGCGTGTCTGCACTAATTGAAATGTATGTATATGAAACAATAAGGGAAAAAGCAGAATGCTTTTCAGATAACACTTACCGTCCCCCGTACAATAAAATCCGTTGAATCGATCAAAGTACGTATTTTGAAAACGTTGATGATTTCCGTAGAGGGTCCGCATCATGCCTGGCCATGGTCGACGAAAAACGAGGTATCCCTCTCCTTCGCCTTCAATCACGCGACCATCCTCGTCAAGAAGTTCTGGTAAAACTCCGAAGAAAGGAAACGTCTAGATATTCGTTTCATAAATCAGAAATAAATCATAATACATATTAATTATTGTACATGAATTGTTAACAAAAAAGTTCTTTACCGCAGAGCCTGGCTTCATAGGTGTGGCACCTGGTAGCGGTGTAATCACATGACCACCAGTTTCCGTTTGCCAAAACGTGTCTGCTATACTGCACTTGCCGTGGCCAATGAGATTATAAAACCAAAGCCAAGCTTCGGTATTGATCGGTTCACCAACTGAACCAAGGACCTGAAACATATATTAAGCATGTTAAGCTCTCTGTATGGCTCTTTTTCTTTTTTTTTCTTTTTTTTAATTAAGTACAATGAGATTTACCTTAAGTGTGGATAAGCTGTGCTTCTTTACAAGTTCATCACCAAACTTCATTAGTGATCTGATGGCCGTTGGTGCCGTATAAAATTGCGTGACTTTGTACTTATCGATGATGGACCAATATCGATCATTTTCTGGATAGAAGGGTGTACCCTCAAACTGTGAACCATGAGATGCAAACCGACGAAATAAAAAAAACCAAGAATGATCTGCGTAAGAAAATATGAAAAACGAATACGTACTATAACAGATGTTGCGCCATTCGCCAACGGACCGTAAACCACGTAAGTATGTCCTGTGATCCAACCACAATCGGCGGTACACCAATAAATATCACCTGGATGATAGTCGAAAACATATTTGAAAGTTGTTGCAGCGTAGATCAAATATCCCGCGGTAGTATGAAGAACGCCCTTGGGTTTTCCAGTAGAGCCGCTACGTGATTACGAAAAACAAAAATCTTTTCAGCGAAAACAAATTAGAAGAGCTATTATACGAGTCTTGAAGAAAAGCTCTGTCTGTTACCGATTCTATTTTTTTATTTGATCTTGGTATAGATAAGACACAGTAAATATGTATCATATATGAAGGAATAAGATGCTACATATATGTATACCTTGTATAAAGGATAAAAAGTGGATCCTCGGCGGTCATCCAAACTGGATAACAGCTCGCTTCTGCGTCTTCCATCTCGTCGTGCCACCAAACATCCCGATCATCGTCCCAAGAAACATTGGCGATATCTGTGGCTGTACCGTTGCTAGTGCCATTCACTCCCTTTATCTTACCCTGAGGATTGTTGAGTCTTCTCAGATGCGCAACGACAATGCAGCTTTCAAGTTGATGACCATGCTTCTTGGCCTTTGCTGTAGCTTCGTCACAGATATTTTTTAACAGGAGTAATTTCTCGCCTCTCCACACGCCATCTGTAGTAATTAGAACCTTGGCTTTAGAATCGAGGATACGTTCCGCCAACGAATTAGATGAATATCCTGCAAACTGTGAGATTGTATATATTATTATTTTTTTCTCTTTTATCTACTAACGTTTATATCATCTCATCGATATTTATACTTACCACCACGCTGTGAATCGCTCCTATCCTTGTACAAGCCAGCATGGCGATTGGTAGCTCCAAGATCATCGGCATGTAAATCACCACTTTGTCCCCCACAGAGACACCCTTCGATTTTAGAACATTTGCAAATCTGCACGTTTCTTCGAGCAACTTTCTATACGTCAGTCGAGAATAATCTTCTGGATCGTTTCCTTCCCTGGCAATATAATGGATAGTAAAATATCGATGATATTCAATTCAAAAAGTATCAATATTCTAAGACGGCTTTCACATATAGCATAACTTGTGTAAGCGTAATTGCATCAGCAATCAAATTGTCTTAATTAGAATTAGGCGTAGTTGCTGATACAATTTGATACGATTTGATTGGTTGATGCAAGTCAGCAGTTTTGAGCTTACGTAAATTATACTGCATGTGAAAGCAGCCTCATTCTCGCGAACAACAAATCGCGTAACGTAATGCAAAGAAAATGACAAGAATATACATAGGGTAACTAAAAAATAGAAGAAGTAGGGATAATTTTCCGGCAACTACTGTGTTACATGTCTTTATATTAGTATTATGTTATGATTTCAGGTTTTTATTGTTAATATTAATTATTATGATCGATTTGTCACTGCAATAAGTAGCGTCATTATAAATTATAATTTACATAAAATGATTATTGTAGGATGTAAAAGACTTAGTGCATGATACATAAGTATAGAGACCGAGCAGTAAAGCATGTTGTATAGTAAATTACAAGTATCCTTTGTTTTTGCATTCTTTGTTTAGTTTATTGTCTTGTATATCTCACCTACTTAAAATATACGGCATATTTAGCGGACAGAATTTATACCCAAAACATACAAAGTGAGCAGATTGGATTCAGTGCACTAAATGTAATAAACGTATTACATAAAATATGTACCTCATGTCATAACACTTGTAATATATGTAGGAAGATCGTAATTATTATTTATTACTTCATATATATTTTATCATTCTTATTCCTTAATGAAATGTTGTAAACACATTTTATAAGTTATTGTGTTATTTTAAATTATTTATAAAGATTTGTAAATTTTTCATGAGCTGTACATACCTTCCCTACCTCCCTTAAGAGTAGTCGTATAACCCACCCCTAATATATAGAATATATACTACTCTTAAGGAGGGTAGGAAAGGTATGGGCAAAAATGCAAGGGTTTCAAAAAGTTTTTTTTTAATATGAAAAATAAGTATTTTGGATTTCTAATATTTTTTTCGTAGTAGTAGACAATACAAAGTTTTTACTGATATAGTTCGTTTACCTTAAACATAATGAATAATACTTAATAAATTAAGTTTTTGTTAGGTGTATATACCGGATTATATACCGGAGTTACTCTATCCCGCACTTTTTGTTTGTATATAATAAATTGAGTTAATTAAAACTAATTGCATATTTTTTCAATTTTAATTTATCTACGTATACGATCTAAAAGATCTCGAGCGATTACGAGGAAACTTGAAAACATTCTCGAGTCGCGTTACGAGAGAGAGAGAGAGAGAGAGAGAGAGAGAGAGAGAGAGATGCGCATATATTTAAAAAGCTTTACGTCTATATATATAAGCGTCACATGTTAATGCACTAAGAATTATCATAGAATGGACTATATAAGGTCAAAACTTGTTGAACTTGAGTCTAGTTACGATATCGTGAATCATATGCGAATAATTAGGAAAGGATTAGGCAAATCAATCGATGAGACTTTTCGATAATATGTCGATCGCTACTGATTATGAATAAAACGCCTAGTTTGTCATTTTTTAATAAGATAGTGCGCGACCTTTTTCATAACTGTAGCGATAACTGTATCAATATTAGTAGACAAAAAGCGTAATACATTCAACATGGTAATACTTGTGAAGACGAATCGAAATATATCTTTAAGTCATTCATGTATGTATTTATTATTATATTTAATATGACATTGTAGTGTCAATCGCGCGTCTTCTAATTTCTCATCTTTCTCTCATTTAACTATGATTTGCAATTGCGATTGCGCGCATAATACTATCCTTGAGCGTATTATTTTTTAGTGCAGAAGTAAAGTGCATCTGACCTTCATCTCTCAATCTCCTCTCTAAACTCAGGGCTGGACGGTGTTAATTCATACATATATATGTAGGTATATATGATTAATATATGTATACCGTTTTGTATTTTGCATTTTTATTTATTGTAATTTATGCTATTCGCATTTAAATTTAATACATTTTTACAATATTTTCAGTTTCGCATTTTAATACTTCCGACGATCGGTCGAGCGAGAGAATGAGCATAAAGATAGTCAAATTTTTAATTGCATCATCGGATTTACGCTAGAATACTTGGGATCGTACATTTGCAAGATATGAAAAAAAAACTTGAAACTTTGCTCGTATATATCTCTGAAAATCTTGTAACAAATAAATTTTCAATGTAAATCGCGTGACTGAATCGCGCTCACGCGGAGCTGTGCGGAGCTGACGCAATGAATGACGCGATCGCACGCGATGCCTCGTTGGCCAATGAAGGCGCAGGTGTAAGCCATGTGTCGAATTTTTCGACAAATAGATGGATATCGTCTCACGATATGATTGCGCGACCAAACAATCTTGTCGCGTGCGCTCGGCAAAGTTGCATCATAATTCCAAGGTTAAGGAATACTATGAAAGCTTAGATTCTCCGAATTAGTACGATTGGTATAATAAATATGTTATTACATTCTCAATGGTAATCGATAATGGACAGCTGAACGACCGATACGGCATAGTAGGACATAAGAAGGCCGGAAATGAAATATGTATGAAGCGTGATATCGCGAAACTTACGATCACATTTTTTCACTTGTGTCTCGCGCGTCTTTTACACATGTACAATATACATTATATCAATACTATGTATGTATATACCAAATTTCTCTTTTCAGAGATTTCTCGTGAGACAATAAGTATATCATTCGCTGTAGTTAAAACTGCGTTAAAAATGACGAACTAAATTGTTACGTTTCAGTGATCCATAATAGAAACGATAACGCGCGAGGTGGACTTCATATCATATCACTGCAAGAATGAAATATACCATTTTGCGTAAGTGACGCAAGCTCAACGTGTCCGAATGACTTGCATCTACTATATTGGAGGATATACTTTTGCATGGAAATGAACCGCGCCGTGCCACGCGCCGCTCACTATTTCTCGCGCGTGATCAGATTAGCCATCGAATTCGCGAATTCGATCAACGTATGTACCCTTAACTACATATATATCTTACCAGTAAAATGCTATTTTATCACCATTTCCGCTCTTTACATTTTTATCGAGTAGATTGAAACTTATATTTGTCGATGCTCCCTCCATCCACTTTATGAAAATGTCACCTTTGCTCAGCTCAAAGTTGTACGAGAAAAACTTGTCTTCGATCGCTGGCGTTTCCCAATAAAATTGTTTGGCAATTTCACCCCAGAATTGCACCGGCTCCTTTATAGATCTGGATAAGAACAAAAAATAAATCCATATCAATTCGAGCTATAAATACAAAATAATCTGTTTCGCTTCTTTTTCGCGGAATAATTATTATACATTTATAATTTAAAATTATTATTTATACGTTTTTAACTTATTATAGTTATGTCCATAATTTATCTCGAATTTTCTTTAATAAAGTTTTAATATCGTCACTGTAATAAGAGCTGAAAGATTCGTGTTTAATGAATCGATTAACTTCTCCTTTCTTACGTAACGCATTCTTTATTCCACTTTATTTACAAATTTATGCACGTTTGGTGCACCCGTGAATTGTGCACATTATTATTGTCGTTTCCGCATTAATTAAACGAGCTTGTAGTCCCTTCCGACGAAATATATCACGGATGAAGTAAATAAATCTGTACGTGAAGCAGCAGAGACTTATACATAGCTACATATAAGTCTTGGAAACAAAAAAATTCTCATTTGTAGAATTTACTTGAATCGTATTTCTGTATTAGCTGTATTTCTAGTAGACCGCGGAGGAGCGCTCCTTCGCCTCCACGGAGAAATATATCCCACCCCTGTATATGAGATCAATATCGCGCAGATCACGCTTCTATTTATGCCATTCCGTTTACAGGATGTTCGAGTACGGGGGAAAATCAACATATCTCAGACAATTGAAACACTATCTCTGATTGAAAAACGCAACATTTCTTTCCTCGTAATAATTAAAGTGATTATAATCCGCACGGCATCCAATAAGTATATAATCGTCTTTAAAATCTCGATCCGTTTTTTCGCCGTTTATTATTGATTCCAATTCAAATAACGAAGCTAAAAGAATGACATATTTAGCATTTTTATCACTTATTTGTGTGCTATTCATTTTGCATGCCGTAACAATAATTGCGTCAACGTGCAGTGATACTTTTCGTATCTCGATAGCGTAGGTATTTGACATTCGCGACTGTCACTGAACGTATACGTATGTTATACTTTTCAATCGAAACTAAACTATGATACACACGATGATAGTCCTTTTTCTTTCTCTCATATATGTACCAATGTATGCACGTATGAAATTGAAATTTGATTCATTCATACTTTTACTCACTTCTCGTGCATTCGCTTGTATTGTTCCATGCTAGCGCAGTGCGCCTTTCTCGCGAGCTCCGAATTGGGGTAGTACATTTTCTCCGCCATGTTTCACTTTTCTCTCTCTCTCTCTCTCTCTCTCTTTCTCTCGTCTTCACGTTCGAATTCTTGTTCAAACTACTTGAAATTGGAAGTAGATATCTGTAAAAATAAAAAGGCCGTAATATTCGTAATATTCGTAGTGTATGGAGCAATGGTGTAACACGAAACGTTTGCTAGTGGCGACTAAGCTCCACTAAACTCGCTTTCCACCACTTTACCGGGCTGACCGATAAACCTTGACTGAAACGCGCGCGCAACACGGTCGTCGACAGCGCGGCAGATGACTGGCGAACGGTGAGGAATGGTGAGAGAGCAGTTACGATTATATTCCTGTGTCTTACGTCACTTTCTTACATTTTCCATTTCATGTATTCTCTTTCACGTAATTGTGACTCTTGATGATTAACTGCTTTCTTTTCTTCACCCTTAATTCACGTATCCTATAAATCCTTTGTAAATTTATCAGATTAATAAAAAAAGAAATAAGGACTCGTTGTAAATTTATCAGTTTATATCCTATCAATCGAATCGTAATATAATAAATCTCTTGCTCTCACAAATCTTAGCACTACTCTACATGCCCGCGTGAATACATAAAAATTATTTATCTCATTCCTGCAGATTATTTATTTCATTAAAACGTGTGCTCCAGCAACAATTAAAATTAAATTGAAGACAGATCAGTTTGTATAAAGTTTGCTAATCTCGATCAACGATATCTGTAACTTTTCAATGTTTGCCTTGTGAGCGACTACTACACGATGAGTTTATAATCGTCCCCATTGCTGGATTTACACTGCATCCAATTTTCGTCGTACGACGACTCTGCAACCAATCAGAAAACAGGATTTTATTTCATATAGATGAATCGATTTTTCTGATTGGTTGCAGAGCGTCGTATGACGCACATCAGATACAGTGTGAATCCAACAAAGGGGATACTGAATTTGATCGAGGTCAATAATACAGACTTTTAATTTTAAGAGTGGATATAAAAAGAGTAAAGCCATCCTGGTTCTTCTTTCTGATTGGTTCCGCCATTTTACGATTAGTTTCCGACTGATTCTCAACTTGGCCACCTGCGTTATATCTGACATACAGCGGGTGCTTTCCAGCAAGGACAGAATCAGACACTGTGTAACACAGAGAATCATTTCATTCTCGTTTAATTTGGTTCCGCCATTTTACGATTAGTTTCCGACTGATTCTCAACTTGGCCACCTGCGTTATATCTGACATACAGTATAATCTTACTTCTATGTATTCATATAAAAGTCAAGGGGTAAATTTTTAATTTACTTTATTACATAATTATTACAAATTAAATTTTTAATTTACTTTATTACATAATTATTACAAATTAAATTTTAAAACACTTAAAATGTTTAATTGTGTATTCAGAATATTTTTACAATGATCACATGTGCTGCGTTATGCGAAGTATGTATATACATACATACGTTGTTTTTGCTACTTTTTAATAATTTTAAAAATTATTTATTGAAATCAGTAACTGCGGATCAATAATAGAATAATAAAAAAAAGCTAAGTTAAATACTTCTATTTTTCGGTTTCATTTTCAGCACATGATTAAATATCATAAATAATCACATAAATTACATTACGCAAAAAAATTAAAGGATCATTTAGTTTTTTCTCGTTATTCAATGTCCTAGATAATGAATAGGTCAATATGTATTGACTAAACCAATAGAATCTTCTTTATGTATGTTTTTTCGTATTTTTTGATATATTTGCAAACGTTAATTTCAAAATAAATTGATAGGAAAATATTAAAAATTGCAATCAAAGATCAGATTTCAACAAAATTGTGCTACTTTTAACGCGATTTTCAATATTTTTCCATCGGATTATTTTGAAATAAACGTTTGTACACTATTTTGCATAAAAAAAAGCCCCGAACTAAAGCATTACTGTCTACACATCCTACTGTCTATTTTTGCTCTTTAGCAACCCATGTAGACACTGGGATGTGTAGACAGTAATGGCTCTTGCACACTGCTGCACACTGAACTGAACGCGAAAACGTTTGCCGCGTGGCAAAATGCAACGCGGTAACCAATAAACATGTTAGGAGCTGTAAGCTTATTGGTTATCGCGAAAGAAAATAACATATCCTATATTCTACCCGCTTGGGGCCTAACAGCCTAGAAGTTACAGCGTAGGCAGTGTCCGCTTGCAATATTTCTAACCCATTTTTAATTTCATACATTTTTAAATTTCGTTCCTGTTGGACCGAAAAGTAACGAGACGCATGCGCATAAGATCGAAATGCATGTAGAATACATGGCGATTGTAGGACACTGTGACAGATTTTCTAACCTGAATAGTCGTCAACTTTAACGCTTAATATCTCGGTTCGCGGGGCAAATAAGCGACACTTATTTCTGCCAGATTCTTTCGTTTTATGCAAAAACGCATCGAATGAACCTAATTTTATCGATATCGGAGGTGGTGGGGTATTCTGTGTAATTACCTAAATTAAATTTAATGTGTAAACTCTAATTTTATATTATAACTACAAAAAGGCATCATGCGGCAGTGCAGTGTGCGTCATTGCAAAATAAGATCGAGTGGACCATCAAAAGCCAAAAATACAAAATTTTTTTGGTTTCCAAAGAATCAAACCTTAAAAAAAGCATGGCTGCAAGCTATCAATCGAAGCGAAGAGGAATTGAATATAAATTGCGGTAAATTTCTTTTAAAAATGTATATATTGTTTAAATATTTATTTATTATAAAATCAAAGGTTATTTGCAAATGAAATCGAATTCTTATAAAAGTAATAGTTGTTTATAAAAGTTTTTATATATATTGAACCTGTATTTTTAGCAAAAGTATGTCAACATCATTTTTCACCCGACTGCTTGGAGGAAAGGTGGACGAAGCTTCGAAATAAAGATACTAAATCAAGAAATATTGTTCGATTAAAGATTGGTTCAATTCCAACACTTTTGTTGGATGTACAAAGTCCACAACAAAATCAAAGAAATGAAGTCAAAAGATCTAGTCATGAAACAAAAAAGTTGAACAAGAAATGTTGGTAAGTTTTAATGCAATCGTATTTTATAAAAAAAATATATTTATGGTATTGTAGTCAAATCTCGACATAACAAATCTTACGACTATGTTCAAAAGAAATTATTTATGTATACATATAAAAAATACTGATTATATACCTACATTTATTCTACAATGAAATATTAACAAAAAAATTTTTTTGATATGGTTTCTTGGATGGTTTCTTATAAGGTGATTTCTTTTATAAATTTTATATATATTATATATATATAT